TCTCTCCCTCTCCCTCCCCCTCTGTAAAAAAATCAATCCAATATATATATATTTTTTAAAAAATTCTACACTAAAATATGCATCCCATTGGCAAAACCCCAAGAGATGGATGACCCCCTCCCTTTGCCGGGGGCGGGGGCGGGGGCGGGCGGGTCCTGGCCTCGTTCTTCACGGGCACAGTGGAAATGGGTCCGGCCTCGGAGGGCGTGTTGCCAGGATGTGGGGAAATGCCTGCCTCAGGAATTCCACACCCGATCACTTATCCTGCAGATGTGTTTGCACCATGCATGAAGTGTCAGCGCTCTCCATTGCAATCCTATTTGTCATAGAAAAGAAAAAAAAAAAAAGAAAAAAAGAAGCTTGCCTACTACTTGCCTGGTTGCGGGGCTGATTGAGTGATGTGACGTCCCTGCTTGGAATGCGACACAGTCATTTGAATAAAGGATAACGGTAAATGGACGCACTAAAATGAGCAATGAAGGATAGAGCGTCGGCTTGGGGAGTGAAGGGACCCGGGTTCGATTCAGGTCAGGGGCATGGACCTTGGTTGCGGGCACATCCCCAGTGGGAGGTGTGCAAGAGGCAGCTGATCGATGTTTCTCTCTCATCGATGTTTCTAACTCTCTATCTCTCTCCCTTCCTCTGTACAAAATCAATAAAATATATTTTTAAAATGAGCAATGAAAGTGTAAAGGGCCCAGACCCGTGTGGCTCAGTGGATGAAGCGTCGGCCTGCGGATGGAAGGGTCCCGGGTTCGATTCCGGTCAGGGGCATGGACCTTGGTTGCGGGCACAACCCCAGTGGGGGGTGTGCAAGAGGCAGCTGATTGATGTTTCTCTCTCACTCTGATGTCTCTCTCTCTCTCATCAATAAACATGTCCCACCCTATCTGGTGTGGTTCAGTGGATAGAGCGTCTGCCTATGGACGGAAGGGTCCCGGGTTCGATTCCGGTCAAGGGCATGGACCTTGGTTGCAGGCACATCCTAAGGCCAATGCTCTAGCCACTTGATGGTTAGGGCTGGCAAGCTTTAAAAAAAAAAAAATATATATATATATATATATATATATATATATATATATATATATATGTGTGTGTGTGTGTGTGTGTGTATATATATATATATATTTTTTTTTTTTCAGAGTGGAACGCCTGAAAGTGATGATGATGATGGGCAAGAATCTTGTTTAAATCTGTTTATTTGATACTAAGAGGCCCGGTGCATGAATTCATGCATGAGGGTGGGGGTCTGGCCAGCCCCAGCCCCTGGTCAAATTCCCGGTCCAGGGGACAAACTGCATATTAGTCTTTTTAAAAATTTTTATTTATTTAATTTTAAAATAGATTTTATTGATTTTTTACAGAGAGGAAGAGAGTGGGATAGAGAGTTAGAAACATCGATGAGAGAGAAACATCAACCAGCTGCCTCCTGCACACCCCCCACTGGGGATGTGCCCGCAACCAAGGTCCATGCCCTTGACTGGAATCGAACCCGGGACCCTTCAGTCCGCAGGCCGACGCTCTATCCACTGAGCCACACCAGTTTCGGCAATATTAACTTTTTCTTTTTTTTAAGAAAGGATACGCACATCCCTAGGTGGCTTGCTTAAGCCTGATGGGCAGTAACCTCCTCCAAACCTGAGCAGCTCCTGGGAATCAGTCGCTTCATCTTTTCCTGCGACACTCGATGTCCTCACCTGTGTCTCCGTGGCCTGCCGTGCGCCTGTGGCCGTTTCCGTGGTGACGGACGGGGATGGACTCTGAACCCTCCCTCCGTGCCCCGTGCTCCTTGGCCTCGTCCGTTACCGATATCACCAAAGGCTGGTATGCAAGCCGCCCCCTGACCCCGAGGACACGCGAGGGAGGTGGATGCGCGGGCTCAGGCTCCGTCCGCACCGGATAAATGGCCCCGACACCGGTGTGGCTCAGCGGTGACAGCGTCGGCCTGCGGACGGAAGGGTCCCGGGTTCGATCCCGGTCAAGGGCATGGACCTTGACTGCGGGCACATCCCCAATGCGGGGGGGGGGGGGGGGGGCAGGAGGCAGTGGATGGATGTTTCTCTCTCACATCGATGTTTCTGACTCTCTGTCCCTCTCCCTTTGTCTCTGTAAACAATGAATAAAATATATTTTAAATTGTGTTGTTTTTTTTTAATTAAGTGTGGCCTGGCCTGCGTGGCTCAGTGGCTGAGTGTCGACCCTTGGACCAGGTCACCGTTCGACTCCTGGTCAGGGCACAGGCCCAGATTGCATGCCCCTAACGCCTGACCCCGCTGCCTGCCTGCCTGATTGCCCCTAACCGCTCCCCTGCCAGCCTGATTGCCACTAACTGCTCCCCTGCCAGCCTGATTGCCACTAACTGCTCCTCTGCCAGCCTGATTGCCACTAACTGCTCCCCTGCCTGCCCGATGGCCCCTAACCGCCCCCCTGCCTGCCCGATCGCCCCTAACCGCCCCCCTGCCTGCCCGATCGCCCCTAACTGCCCCCCTGCCTGCCCGACCGCCCCTAACCGCCCCCCTGCCTGCCCGACCGCCCCTAACCGCTCCCCTGCCAGCCTGATTGCCACTAACTGCTCCCCTGCCAGCCTGATTGCCACTAACTGCTCCTCTGCCAGCCTGATTGCCACTAACTGCTCCCCTGCCAGCCTGATTGCCCCTAACTGCTCCCCTGCCAGCCTGATCGCCCCTAACCGCCCCCCTGCCAGCCTGATTGCCCCTAACCGCTCCCCTGCCAGCCTGATCGCCCCTAACCGCTCCCCTGCCAGCCTGATCGCCCCTAACCGCTCCCCTGCCAGCCTGATCGCCCCTAACCGCTCCCCTGCCAGCCTGATCGCCCTAACCGCTCCCCTGCCAGCCTGATCGCCCCCTAACCACTACCCCGCCAGCCTGATCACCCCCTAACAGCTCCCCTGCCAGCCTGATTGCCCCTAACTGCTCCCCTGCTGGCCTGACCACCCCTAACCACCTCTGCCTCGGCCCCCACCACTGTGGCTTTGCCCAGGACGACGACCAGAAGACATTTGATCTATCGGGTCTAATTAGCATATTATTAGCCTTTCATTAGTATGCATATATATATATATATTGAGCTTTATCTTTTCATTTCATTTTTACATTTTTACTGATGTCAGAGAGGGAGAGGGAGATAGAAACACCCATGATGAGTGAGAACATCGATTGGCCGCCTCCTGCACGCCCCTCACTGGGGATCAAGCCTGCAACCTGGGCCTGTGCCCTGATGGGGAATCGAACCCTGACCTCCTGTTTCCTAGGGGGACGCTCAACCCCTGAGCCACACTAGCCCGGGCCTGCTATGCTTTTTTTTCTCTCTCTCTGAGCTTTTCTTCCAAAAGATTTCTAAGTGGTCTCACCCAACGCACGCCTACCCGTCCCTTAAAGGGAGGCAGCGAAGCCGAAACCGGCGTGGCTCAGTGGATAGAGCGTCGGTCTGCGGACCGAAAGGTCCTGGGTTCGATTCCGGTCAAGGGCATGGACCTCGGTTGCGGGCACATCCCCGGTGGGGGGTGTTCAGGAGGCAGCTGGTCGACGTTTCTAGCTCTCTATCCCTCTCCCTTCCTCTCTGTAAGAAAAAATCAATCAATTAAAAAAAAAAGAGAGAGAGAGAGGCAGCAAAGTGTGTGAGCCCCAAGGGGTCCCTCGGACGAGGAGACGGGACGAGCTGGGTACCGTTACTTTCCTGGTTGGGGGAGAAGGAAAACGCGGCCCCCGGCGCCGGCTCCGATCCATGCATCCTTTATTCCGTGACCAGCAGCCATATCACTGAGCCGGGGCCGAGTCTGACAGCGGCCGGAGTCTGACCACACGTTTAAGGCTTTTACATTGGAGAAACGAAAGAGGAACAAAAAAAAATCAAAACGAAACCACCCCCTCCAGCACCCCTGCCAGCCCACACCCCGTCCCCAGGCCTGCCGGGAAGCCACGGCGAGCGGCGTCCGTGGCTGATGCCGTCCCGGGGCCGGAACCCGCATCCCCGCCGGACGCAGAAGATCCCGGAATTTTAGGGGAATCAATTCTTCAGCGCGTCAAATGGTCCTTTTCTTTCTTCTTCTTCTTTTTTTTGTTTTTGTTTTTGTCTTGGAAATGGTATAAAAAAATCTTTTTTTTTTTCTTTTAATAGCAAAACCGAGGAATAGAAACCTATTAACAAAATGTACCCCAATCATTTACATTATAAAGGAGGGGCCTGCAGTTCACGGGCGATTCTGAGAGGGCAGGGGAGGGGGTGAGGACAAATACCCATTATTGACGGCAGGGAGGAAGGGCGAGGAAGAGGGACAGAAACATCCACGACGAATGAGAACACGGATCGGCTGCCTGTGCCCTGAGGGGGAATCGAACTGATGGAGGAGGTCACAGCAGATACACTTTGTCAAAGGCCGATGGGAGCGTCTGCCGTGGGCCAGGGTTCGGCAAACCCATCCGTCCACAGAGCCACATACCAGCAGCACGACGACTGAGGTGTCTTTGGAGAGCTGGATTTTTAAAACCTAAACTTCCTCCGCGCAGGCTCGCCCAGGCCGTGGCCTTTTGTGGAAGAGCAACCCTCCAGGTGGCTTGCGAGCCGCGGTTTGCCGGCCACGGGCATTAGGCCGCCCCGACCATCGACATAGGAAGCGTCTGTGGCCGGGTAACAAACGGACACGCGCGAGAAAAAAATAACAGATCAAAAAAACAGAAAGAAAAAAATATATATTCCGTGTGAGAATATTCCAGTGTTCGCTCCGGGGTTCCAGTGCGGGAAGCTGGCCAGGGCGGAGCCAGGGGCTGAGCCCTCCAGTGACCCAGTTTGGGGGCGGGGAGGGAAGGTCAGCACGTTAATGGACGTGAAGGGCCCAGAGGGTGTGGCTCAGTGGGCAGCGCGTGGGCCTGCGGACCAAAGGGTCCCGGGTTCGAATTCCCTGAGGTCAAGGGCACAGACCTCAGTGGCAGGCTCCTCCCCTGCCCACATTATGCCCCTCTCTCCCTCTCTCTCTCTCTCTCTCTCTCTCTCTCTCTCTCTCTCTCTCTCACACTCTCCTTAAAAACCAATGCGAAAATATCCTCGGGCGAGGATGAACAAAGAGAAAAAAAGGAAAAAGTTAAGGGAGTGTTGTCACCGGCGTTCCAGTAGCTCCAGCACAGCACCACCCATGGACAGATCCCGGGAACGCGGACGACATGGGGGGGGTGGGGGGACGGGGAAGGGGGGTTCTGCCTGAATGAACCCCGAGTGATGCATAGAGGAGAGACGCAGCTGGGAGTATCCTCACCCAGCACCCCCAGCCCTCCTTCCGACCCCCGCGAGGCCACGGGGCCGGGAGCCACAGCAGGTCCGTGTCGGGAGGCGTGTGAATTAGTAGAAATTCTCTAGCCATGCGGCCGAGGCCTCCCTGGCTCTCGGATGAGGTCGCTCGTGTCCAGGCCGGGTGCTTCCTCCCTGTCGCCGGCCGTGACCGTGACCGTGACCGTGACCTTGGCCGTGACCGTGGCCATGGTAGTGCCCATGACCGTGACCCTGTCCGTGGCAGTGGCCCAGGCTGTGACCTTGGCCGTGACCGTGGCCATGGCCGTGACCACAACCTTTGTCCATAGCCATGACCGTGGTTGTGACCGTGACCGTGGCCCTGTCCGTGGCAGTGACCGTGGCCCTGTCCGTGGCCGTGGCCCGGCCGTGGCAGTGACCGTGGCCCTGTCCGTGGCCCTGTCCCGGCCGTGGCCGTGGCCCTGTCCATGGCAGTGACCGTGGCCCTGTCCATGGCAGTGACCGTGGCCCTGGGCTGTGACCGTGACCCTGTCCGTGGCAGTGACCGTGGCCCTGTCCATGGCAGTGACCGTGGCCCTGTCCGTGGCAGTGACCGTGGCCCTGTCCGTGGCCGCTCCCGGGGAGGGCGCGTGGGGCGCGGAGGGCTGTGCTCGCCGTGCCTGCGGGGGGCCGCGGCGCCTTCAGGAGTTGGGGAGCTCGTGGGAGATGAACTGCTTTAGCCGCTCCAGGTACTGGGCGTAGAGTTCAATGTCGTTGTGCCCGGCGCCCTCCACCCACAGCGGCTCCACGGCGCGCGGGCAGCGCTCGTACATGGCCAGGCCGTGCGAGAAGTCGATGACCTCGTCCTCCGTGCCGTGGATGACCAGCACCGGCGAGGTCACTTTGGAGATCTTGTCGATGCTGCGGGGGGGGAGGGGGGGGCGGGAGAGAGAGGACTCTTTAGGGACAGCATCGCCAACCTCCTCTTTTTCCAGAAATTCTTTTTTTAAAAATCATTTAAAATACATTTTTATTGATTTCAGAGAGGAAGGGAGAAGGAGAGAGAGATAGAAACATCCACGATGAGAGAGAATCTCGGACCAGCTGCCTCCTGCACGCCCCCCACTGGGGACGGAGCCCACAACCCGGGCCTGTGCCCTGACCGGGAATCGAACCCTGACCTCCTGGTTCCTAGGTCGACGCTCGACCCCTGAGCTGGGCATCTTAAGGGACCTTTCTCTTCGAAGCAACAGCTCAGGTGGTTAAACATTGACGAGAGCCAAGAGCCTTTTGCCCTTTGCACATAAGACCTCGTGGGACGTGGAAGGTGGGACGTGGGCGAGAAGCAAGGTCCTCTATTCAGCAGGAGGGACCAGAGCTCAGAAAGACAGCCCCGTCGCCAGGCCCCGAGAGAGCGGGGTGCTCTGAGGTCACCCCCAAACCTGCACACAGCTGTCCCAGCGAGGCGCCGGGAGGATGGCAAAGCCTGGCCCGGGCCGTGTCCCCCGCCATGATCAGAGCCACGGCGGTACGTCTACGGGCCTGGCCGGTGTGGCTCAGTGGGCAGAGCGTCGGCCTGCGGACTGAAGGGTCCCGGGTTCGATTCCCGGTCAGGGCACCTGCCCGGGTTGCGGGCACCGTCCTCCCCTGTAGTGTGCAGAAAGCAGCTGATCCATGATGCTCTCTCATCGTGGATGTTTCTCTCTCTCTCTCTCCCCCCCAGCTCCCTTCCTCTCTCTCTAAAAACCAATCCAGCCCTTACTGGTGTGGCTCAGTGGATAGAGCGTCGGCCTACAGACGGAAAGGTCCCGGGTTCGATTCCGGTCAAGGGCATGGACCTTGGTTGCGGGCACATCCCCAGTGGGGGGCGTGCAGGAGGCAGCTGGTCGGTGTTTCTCTCTCCTCGATGTTTCTAATTCTCTCCCCCCCTCCCTTCCTCTCTGTGAAAAATCTATAAAACATATTTTAAAAAACCAGCCCACGGAAACGGTCCTCGGGGTGAGAATGAACTATCACACACGCCTCACCACGCCCTCTGCACGCACGTGGCTCTTGGCGATTGGGCTGCACACGCCACCCGGCTCCCACACGGACAGCGAGGGTGGGGTGGGGGGGGGGCCGGAGGCGGGTCCGAGCGAGCAGGGCCCTCAGGGACACCGGGTGGGTCTGGACCTCGGATCTCACCCCGAGGCCCCGCCTCGCCCCATGGGCGTGTCCTGGTTTCTCTCCCTCTCCCTCTCCCTCTCCCTTCCTCTCGGACATCGATCCTATAGAAAAAAGCCTAATGTGCACATGGGCAGGACAACCGGTTGCTATGGCGCCATAGACAACCCAGGGAGTAGACGGCACAGGAGCTGCCCACTAGTGGTCTGTGCACAACATGGCAAGCAACGGAACTCCCGGGCTCCCGGTCGGACTCCCGCGAGGACACTCTGCACATTGGCCTTTTATATATATATAGATAGATAGATAGATAGATAGACGTTTCTCTCCCTTTCTCTTCCTCTCGGACGTCAGTCCTATAGAACAAACGCCTACGATGCAAACTGGCGGAACGACCGGTCGCTGTGACACATTCTGACCACCAGGGGGCAGACACTCCGCACGGGAGCCGCCCCCCGGGGGTCCGCGCGCGTCACAGCGAGCGCCGGAACTCCCGGGCTCCCGGTCGGACTCCCGCGGGGACACGGCGGTGGCCGGCCGGGGGGCGGGGCTCACCTGGGGAAGACGTCGAAGCAGTAGGTCTTGCGGGTGTCGGGGAAGGCCACGCGCAGGCCGGACATGAGGGGCGAGTGCAGGATGACGGCCGCACACTCGTACCGGGAGGCCAGGTCCACCGTGGGCACCGTGCCGATGCTCTGCCCGTACAGGATGATGTTCTCGGGGCTCACGCCGTACCTGCAGCCAGAGGGAGCGCCTGAGCCGACGGGGGGCGGGGGGGGGAACACGGGGACAGAGACCCCAAAGCCACGGGAAGCCACGTGTCTGGCCGGCCGGCGTGGCTCCGTGGCAGAGCGTGGACCTAGGATCCAGGAGGTCAGGGTTCGACTCCCGGTCAGGGCACAGGCCCGGGTGCAGCTGGATCGGGGGGGGGGGGGGGGGCATGCAGGAGGCAGCTGATCTGTGATTCGCTCTCCTCATTGATGTTTCTCTCTCTCTCTCCCTCCCTTCCTCTCTGACATCAGTCTATAGAAGGTGACCAGATGTCCCGATTTCTAACAATTTGTCCCGCGTCCCGCGGCATTTTAAAAAAAAGTCCCGACGTTTGGAAAGAATGCACGACAAGCTAGGAAACAGCGGGAGAACGGGAAGGGAATAGACGGTGTTCGGCGACCGTGCGGCTGGCTATGCAGCCAGGATGTGAGTTTTTTTTATTACTTTTGTTAAATTTATAACGTTAAACTCTAATCATAACAAATAACTGTTGAGAACTAATTACCGAGAACTGCTTATCAAAGCTCGCATGGTTGATCAGTTGTTAGAATCCACGCAAATGAGAAATATGCCAAAGAATAAAATAATACAGTACATCATTTTTTTTAAATTTATCATCTTTGTAAATTGTACTTATGTTGAAATTTAAAAAAAAATATATTACAATACTATTTCTGCGTTCTATGAAAACGTTTGTTGCTCCATATGGAGACCAAATTTTTAATCAAGAACCCCCCGTCTCCCCCCAGCCCCGACAATGGTGTCCAGCTTTACCCATGTTCAAATCTGGTCACCTTAGTCCTATAGGATAAAAGCCTACTATGCACACTGGCGGGATGGCCGCTCGCTATGACACGCACGGACCACCAGGGGGCAGACACTCCACACCGGAGCACGTCATGGCGAGCGACTGACCTCCCGGTCTCCTGGTCGAACTCCCGCGGGGACGCTTTGCGTATTAGCCTTTTGTATAGACAGACAGATGTTTCTCTCTCTCCCTCCGCCCTCCTCTCTCGAGTCAATAAGAAGTTCCGGGTGGACAAACCTTCAGGCCCGGGACAGAGGCGCGGGCGGGACCGAGGCCTCGGCCGGTGAGCTGCAGGAGGAGGGACCCCTCGCCCACGTGAGAGGAGAGCCGAGCGGGCGCGGAGGGCTGACCACGGAGGGAAGGAGGTGGTAAACGGGCTGCCGGGCGGGGGACACCCGGAAGCTCGGCCCGCGGGCAGGGTCACGGTCAGCCACGCCCGCCTGGCCCGTGGCCAGAGCACACGCCCAGTACGCTCGCCGGTTCATCATGGGGAAGCGATGGAAGCATCCGTCGCAGAGCTGTGCTCACTTCTCCTGGGGAGGAGGAGGGGGGAGGAGGAGGGGGGAGGAGGAGGAGGAGGAGGGGGGGGGGGGGAGGAGGAGGAGGAGGAGGAGGGAGGTGGAGGAGGAGGGGGGAGGGGGAGAGGAGAGGATGAGGGGAGTAGGAGGCGGAGTGGGGGGAGGAGGGGGAGGAGGAGGAGGAGGAGGGAGGAGGGGGAGAGAGGGAGGAGGAGTTGGTGGGGAGGAGGAGGTAGAGGTGGGTAGGAGGTGGAGAGGAGGAGGAGGAGGGGGAGGAGGAGGCGGAGGAGGGGGAGGAGGAGGGGAGGATGTTGGGAGGAGGAGGAGGATGGGTGGGGCGGAAGGCGGGGGGGGGACGAGGAGGGGGGGAGGAGGAGGCGGGGAGGAAGGAAAGCGGCGGCGGAGAAGGGGGGGAAAGGAGGGGGAGGAGGAGAAGGAGGAGGAAGGGAAGAGAAGGAGGAGGAGGAAGAGGAGGGAGGGAGGAGAGGAGGAAGAGAGGGAGGGGGAGGAGGAGGAGGAGGAGGAGAAGGAGGAGGAGGAGGAGGAGGAGGAGGGGCAGGAGGAAGAGGGGGAGGAGGAGGAGGGGGGAGGAGGAGGGAGGAGGAGGAGGCGGCGGAGGAGGGGCGGAGGAGGATGTGTATGTGATGTGTATGGAGGAGGGGGAGGAGGAGGGGGCGGGGAAGGAGGAGGAAGAGGGGGGAGGAGGGGGAAGGAGGAAGAGGGGGAAGTAGGGGGGAGGAGGGGGGGGAGCGGGAGGGTGGGAGGAGGAGGGATGGAGGGGGAGGAGGGGGAGGCGGAGGAGGAGGAGGGGGATGGCGGAGAGGAGGAGGGGGAGGCAGGAGGGAGATTGAGGAGGGGGAGGAGGTGGCGGAGGAGGAGGAGGAGGGAGGAGGGGGCGGGGGGAGGAGGCGGGGGAGGAGGAGGGGGACGGGGACGGAGGCAGGAAGAGGGGAGATGAGGGGACGGAGGAAGAGGGGGCAGAGGGGCGGAGGGGGAGGAGGGAGGAGGGGGAGGAGGGTGGAGGAGGAGGAGGAGGGGGCGGAGGGGGGCGGAGGAGGAGGAGGTTGGTTGGGGGCGTAGGTGAGGAGGAGGGGAGGAGGCGGAGAGGGGGAGGAGGGGCGGAGGAGGAGGAGGGGGGAGGAGAGGAGGGGGGAGGCGGAGGAGGAGGGAGGAGGATGAGGAGGAGGAGGGGGGAGGAGGCGGGACGGAAGTCGGAGGGGAAAGGAGGAAGAGGGGGACGAGGGGGAGGAGGCGCGCCGCACGCGCACCGCGCACGCGCCGCGCACGCACGCCGCGCCCGCGGAGGAGGAGGAGGAGGGGGGGAGGGGACGGGGGGAGGGGAAGGAGGAAGAGGGGGAGGAGGGGAAGGAGGGGGGGAGGAGGAGGGCGGGGGATGAGGGTGGAGGAGGAGGAGGAGGGGAAGAAGAGAAGAAGGAGGGGGGGAGGAGGGCGAGGGAGGGAGGAGTGGAAGGAAGAGGAGGAGGAGGAGGGGGAGGAGGGGGGGGGGAGGAGGAGGATAGAGAGAAGGAGGGGGCGGAGGAGGGCGCGGAGGAGCGGGGAAGAGGAGGAGGGGGAGGAGGAGGAGGAAGGAGGGGAGGGAGGTTGGTGGGGGAGGGGGAGGGAGGAGGCTGGCGAGGGGGGAGGATGGGGAGGAGCGGTGGGAGGGAGGAGGAGTGGGAGGAGTGCGGCTGAGGAGGATGTTGTGGAGGAGGGTGGGTGAGGAGGCGGGGGGAGGATGGGGGAAGCGAGGGAGGAGAGAGGAAGCGAGGGGCGGGAGGGGGGAGGAGGAGAAGGAAGGGGTGAGGAGAGGAGGAGGGAGGAGGAGGGCGGAGGGAGGGAGGGAGGAGGAGGTGGAGGAGGAGGAGGAGGAGGAGGAGGAGGAAAAGGAAGAGGAGGAGGAGGAGGGGAGGAGGAGGAGGGAGGATGGGAGGAGGAGGAGGAGGAGGGGGAGGAGGAGGGGAAGGAGGGAAGAGGAGGAGGAGGAGGAGGAGGAGGAGGGAAGAGGAGGGAGGAGGCGGAGGGGGAGGAAGAGGGGGAGGAGGGGGAGGAGGAGGAGGAGGAGGGGGAGGAGGAGAGGAGGAGGGAGGAGGAGGAAGAGGGGGAGGAGGAGGAGGAGGAGGAGGAGAGGGAGGAGGAGGAGGATGGGGGGAGGAGAGGGAGGAGGAGGAGGAGGATGTTGGGAGGTAGGAGGATGGAGGGGAGGAGGGGGGAGGGATAGAGGAGGGGGGGAGGAAGAGGAGGAAGGAGGGAGGAAGGAAAGAGAAGAGGCGGAGGAGGAAGAGGAGGAGAAGGTAGGAGGAGGAGGGAGGAGGGGGGGGGGAAAGGATGGGAGGAGAGAACAGAGGAGGAGGAGGGGGGGAAAGGAGGGGGAGGAGGAGAAGGAGAGGAGGAGGAGGAGGAAAAGGAGGAGGAGGAGGAGAACAAAAAGAAAAAAGAGAAGCGAAGCGAAGCTATGGCCGACCCAGACACTGAGCTGGGGAAGAGGTCGCACAGCTGAGGACAGGAGGTGGGAGGAGCCGGCGGGCGCGTGGCGGGGACCAGCGGAGGGAGAACCCTGGCCTGGGTGACGGGGGGAAGAGCAGGGCAGGGGCCCTGCAGGAGGGCGGGCTGCGGGGAGGCGGGGGGGAGGCTGCCTGCGGGCCCCGAAAGTAACCTCCGACCCAGGACACCGCAGAGGAAGCCGGCGGGAGGGCGGCCAGGAAAGCCTCCTGTTTCTACGCAGTCAGCCCCCACCCACTGTGGGAGCTAGAGAAGGGGAGGAGGGGCCGCGGCAGCTTCATTTTATTATTAAAACACACACACACACACACACACACACATACACACACACATACACACACATACATACACACACATACATATACACACATACACATACATATACACACATACACACATGCATATACACACATATACACATACATATACACACATTCACACATACACACATACATACACACACATACACACACATACACACACACATACACACACTCTAGAGGTCCGGTGCATGAAATTCGTGCACAGGGGCGGGGGGGGGGGGCGGGGGTGTCCCTCAACCCAGCCGGCACCCTCTCTGATCTGGGACATCCCTCTCGCTGGCTCCTAACCCCTCTGCCTGCCTGATCGCCCCTAACCCCTCTGCCTGCCTGCCTGATCGCCCCTAACCACTCTGCCTGCCTGATCGCCCCTAACCACTCTGCCTGCCTGATCGCCCCTAACCACTCTGCCTGCCTGATCGCCCCTAACCACTCTGCCTGCCTGATCGCCCCTAACCACTCTGCCTGCCTGATCGCCCCTAACCCCTCTGCCTGCCTGATCGCCCCTAACCACTCTGCCTGCCTGATCGCCCCTAACCCCTCTGCCTGCCTGATTCCCCTAACCCCTCTGCCTGCCTGATTCCCCTAACCCCTCTGCCTGCCTGACTGATCGCCCCTAACCCCTCTCTCTGCCTGACTGATCGCCCCTAACCCCTCTGCCTGCCTGATCGCCCCTAACCCCTCTGCCTGCCTGATCGCCCCTAACCCCTCTCTCTGCCTGATTCCCCTAACCCCTCTCTCTGCCTGATCACCCCTAACCCCTCTGCCTGCCTGATTGCCCTAACCCCTACGCCTGCCTCATCGCCCCTACCACTCTGC